CTGGTATAAATCCCACTTGATTATGGTGAATTATTTTTTTTGATATGTTGCTGAATTCTATTGGCTAGAATTTTATTGAGGATTTTTGTGTCAATGTTCATGAGGGATACTGGTCTGTAATTTTCTTTCCTTGCGGTGTCTTTACCTGGTTTTGGTATCAGGGTTATGCTGGCGTCACAGAATGAGTTTGGGAGTATTCCATCCTTTTCTATGCTCTGAAATACCGTCAGTAGTAGTGGTGTTAACTCTTCTCTGAGAGTTTGGTAGAATTCTCCAGTGAAGCCGTCCGGGCCAGGGCTTTGTTTTTGTTGGGAGTTTTTAAATTACCTTTTCAATCTCTTCTTTTGTTACAGGTTTATTTAGTTGTTCTACTTCTGTTTGTGTCAGTTTAGGTAGGTAGCGTGTTTCTAGAAATTAGTCCATTTCCTCTAGGTTATCAAATTTGTTAAGAGTACAATTTTTCATAGTATCCTGTTATGATTCTTTTAATTTCAGTTGGATCTGTTATGGTATCACCCATCTCATTTCTTATACAGGTTATTTGCTTCCTCTCCTGTGTTTCTTTTGTCAGTCTGGCCAGTGGTTTATCAATTTTGTTGATGTTTTCAAAGAACCAGCTTTTGGTCTCGTTAACTCTTTCAATTGTTTTTCTATTCTCTATTTCACTTAATTCTGCTCTAATTCTTATTATTTCCTTTCTTCTGGCACTCGAGGGCTTCTTTTGATGCTCTTTCTTCATGTTCAAGTTGTAGGGTTAATGTTTTGCTTTTGGCCCTTTCTTCCTTTTGGATGTGTGCATTTATTGCTATAAACTGATCTCTGAGCACTGCTTTAGCTGTGTCCCAAAGTTTCTGGTAGGATGTGTTTTCGTTCTTATTTGATTCTATGAATTTCTTTATTCCATCCTTAATTTCTTCTATAACCCAGTAGTTTTTGAGCAAGGTGTTGTTCAATTTCCATGTGTTTGATTTTTTTTCCTTGCTTTTTCTGTTACTGATTTCAACTTTTATGGCTGTATAGTCAGAAAAGATGCTTTGTTAAAATTTCAATGCTTTGGATTTTGTTAAGGTTTGCTTTATGGTTTAATGTGTGATCTATTCTGGAGAATGTTCCATGCGTGCTGGAAAAGAAAGTATACTAGGTTGCTGTTGGGCGGAGTGTTCGGTGTATGTCTATGAGATCAAGTTGGTTGATTGTAGCATTTAGATCTTCTGTGTTTTTGTTGAGCTTCTTTCTGGATGTTCTGTCCTTCACCGAAAGTGATGTGCTGACGTCTCCTACTACTATTGTGGAGCTGTCTATCTCTTTTTTCAGTGCTGTTGGAGTTTGTTTTATGTATTTTGGAGCCCTGTTGTCGGATGTGTAAATATTTATTATAGTTATGTCCTCCTGGTGTATTGACCCTTTAACCATTATATAGTGTCCTTCCTTATCGTTTGTGGTAGATTTTACTTTAAAGTCTATTTTGTCAAGAGATTAATAGTGCCACTCCTGCTATTTTTTAAGTGTTGTTTGCTTGATATATTTTTTTCCATCCTTTGAGTTTTAGTTTGTGTCTTTAAGGTGTGTCTCTTGTAGACAGCATAGAGACAGATCATGTTTTTTTATCGAATCTGTCACTCTCAGTCTCTTTATTGGTGCATTTAGTCCATTTACATTCAGCATAATTATTGATAGGTATGAGTTTAGTGCTGTCATTTTGATGCCTTTTTTTGCGTGTGTTGTTCAGTTTCTTTGTTCCACTTAATTTTCTTGCTGAGTCATTTTTCTTTATGTATTTTCTTTTCATTTTTTCATTGTTATTGATTTTGTATTTGCTGAGTCTTTGTATTTTTCTTGTTCTTTGACTTATAGGATTGTTAGTTTCCTTTGTGGTTACCTTAATATTTACCCCTATTTTTCTATGTTTATACAGTCTTTTATTTCTTTATATCTCCTTGACTTCCTCCTCATATGAAAAATCTTTGTCTACATTTTTAGTCCCTCTACTTTGTTTTAATGTTTTCATCTTTTACACATTGACATCTGTTTCCCTATTTTCAGTGTTTTAGCTTTTATTTTTGTGACTTCCCTATCTGGGTTGATATATGGTTGCTCTGCTGTGTTCTAGTCTTGAGTTGTCATCTGATGTTATTGATTTTCTAACCAGAGGATTCCCTTTAGTATTTCTTGTAATTTTGCTTTGGTTTTTACAAATTCCCTCAACTTCTGTTCATCTGGAAATGTCCTAATTTCTCCATCATATGTGAGAGACAGTTTTGCTGGATACATAATTCTTGGCTGGCAATTTTTTTCCTTCAAGGCTTTATATATGTTATCCCATTGCCTTCTTGCCTGCATGGTTTCTGGTGAGTAGTTCGAGCTTATTCTTATTGACTCTCCTTTGCAGGTAACTTTTCGTTTATCCTAGCCGCTCTTAAAATTCTCTCTTTATCTTTGGTTTTGGCAAATTTGATTATAATACGTCTTAGTGATTTTCCTTTGGGATCTACCTTATGTGGGGTTCGATAAGCATCTTGGATAGATATCTTCTCATCTTTCACGATATCAGGGAAGTTTTCTGCCAACAAGTCTTCAACAATTCTCTCTGTATTTTCTGTCATCCACCCCCCCACCCTTCTGGTACTCCAATCACTCGCAGGTTATTTCTCTTGATAAGAGTCCCACATAATTCTTAGGACTTCATTTTTTTTTAATCCTTTTATCTGATGTTTCCTCAGATAAGTTGGTGTCAAGTGCTTTATCTTCAATCTCACTAATTCTGATTTCCATTGCCTCAGTTCTGCTCCCATGACTTTCTATTGAGTTGTGTAATTCTGACATTTTATTGTTAAGCCTCTGGATTTCTGATTGCTGTCTCTCTATGGATTCTTGCAGCCTGTTAAATATGTCATTATGTTCTTCTCTAGTCTTCTTAAGTTCCCCTATTGCTTGGTCTGTGTTCTGCCTGATCTCCTTCCTGATCTCTTGAAGGGTTCAGTATATTAATCTTTTGTATTCTGTCTCTGGTAATTCTAAGATGTTTTCTTCCTCTGGAAAATTTCTAGATTCTTTATCTTGGGAGCTTGCTGAGGCCATCATGGGCTGCCTCTTTATGTGATTTGATATTGACTGTTGTCTCTGAGCCATCAATAAGTTATCATATTTATTTATTTATTTTATGTTTGCTTACTGTGTCCTAGCTTCTTGTTTTGTTTTGACATGCCCAAATAGGCTGCTCGTGTGTGCCAGCCCAATCACCAGCACCCCTGAAGCTCCAATGTCCTCCCACCAGGTGGCCAGACCTGCCACTAAGTATGTGAGCCCAGGAATCCACCCACCCCTCCTGTATGGATTCAGCTCAGGTGTCCAGGTACCAAGTGTGTGGTGCAAGCTCTCACCTACATTCTAGTCAGGCATGGGTGATTGGTGTAGGCACAGTCATCCAGCTGCAGCAGGGAGATACAGGCTGAGTAAGGCAGGGGGTCGACAGCTACCCCCAAGTGTCTAAGAGGAAAGTGTGGCCCTGTTCCCTAAAGTGCGTAGATGGGTGGGTTTTGCAGCTGGATTATGAGCACCTATTGCTGTGGCTGTGAGGACTGGGGGGCACCTCTTATTCTTGGGCCCCTATTGCAGGTGGGTAAGTGGTGTAGGTGGAGCCACTAGTCCTCAGGCCCCTGATGCGGGTAGGTGAAGACCGTGCTTAATGGGCAGAGCAGTGACAAATGTCAAGAAGCTGCCACTTCACAGCTGAAACAGTTGAAGTTAGACTTCAGTTATATACTCTGTTGTACTGCAGTAATGAGAGCCTATACTGTTGAAATGGGCACACACAAGTCTATGTAGGGGGACAGGGACTCAAACTCCGTGGATCCCTTATGCCTGTGCCTAGGCAAAGGAGCTGTGCCTACCCTGAATTCCTGGCTTAGGGGAGCCAGCAGATTATTTTTTCCCCTTTTTGTTAATTTGTTCACTCTCCAAGGCCGGAAGAATGGCTCCAGGTGTGACAGGTCCTACTTCCAGCCCAGAGGACTCGGCAATTGCTGAAGCCAGTCCTGGACCCAGTACAGAGCATGGAGTTGGGAGGTAAACGGGAGAGACGGTTTTCCCTAAACGGGGTGTTTTTGATCCGTGCGGTAGACCAGATGCAAGTACTTATCTTTTGCCGATTGAGGGCTGTGTCTCACTGGTTCTGGATGGCGGAGTAGACTCTCTGCCACTGGGTCTCTCCCGATGTGGAAAATGCCTCCCAAGCACTGCTGCTTACCTGCCTCACTGTACACCAAGCTGATCAGGCCTGAAGGGCTCAGGCTTTCGCCAGGTCAGGTCTGGCAACTTCTCGCTGCTTCCGAACTGTCTCTCCCTCCCCCGCCACTCAGTCCGATTCCTCAACTTTGCCTTTGATGTCCAGGGCTCCTAGACTGTCATATATAATAGATTCACTTGTTTTTTCGGGTGTTTGTTGTAAGAGGGACCATCAGAAGCATCTGACTACTCTGCCATCTTGGCCCTGCCTCCTCCATAGGGTTTTCAATAGCTGATTTATTGGAAGTAGATCACCAGGGCTTTCTTCCCAGGCAGCTCTGGGTGGACTCAAATTTCTAACTTTTTGGATAGCAGCCGAGCACATTAACCATTTGCACCACACAGGGACTCCCAAAGCTGTCATTAAGATCTAAATAAAGCCCTGCTTTACAGAACACTCAAGTACCTCTCAAGAATGTGAGGTATGCCTTTTCTCCCCCATTTCCTCATTCTCCAAATTCTGGAAACAAATGGAATCCTTGCCTACTCAATAACAGCTAAACACAGAACTAGTTACCACATGATTCAGCAATTCCATTACTAGGTATCTAACTCTGAGAACTGAAAACATGTATGTCCACATAAAAACTTGCACACAAATGTTCATGGCAGTGTTATTCATAATAACCAAAAGGTGGAAACAGCCCAAATGTCCATAAATTAATGAGTGGATAAATAAAAGGTTGTATGTCCATACCATGGAATATTATTTGATCATAAAAGGAAATAAAGTACTGATATATGCTACAACACAGGTGAAAACATTATGCTACGTAAAGAAGTCAGTCACAAAGGACCACACAGTATATGATTCCAATTGTATGAAATGTCCAGAATAGGCAAATCCATAGAGAAAAATAGTAGATTAGTGATTGCCTAGGGTTGGGGGAGGTGGGGGAATTAGGGTAGGGGTGAGAGCTAAGGGTGCAGGGTTTCTTTTTGGGGTAATGAAAATGTCCTAAAATCAATTGTGGTCATGGGTACATGACTCTATGAATATATTAAAGGCCACTGAATTGTACACTTCAAATGGGTGGATTGTATGGTATGTAAATTATCTAAAACTTTAAAAAAAAAAAAAAAAGCCAGATGTAGCTTCTTCCTAAAATCCTAACTCTCCCAATTCACCACACTGCACATTATACTGCACTGTCAGGGCAGAGCCTGAGGGGTACACTTACTGTCCAGCCCTCAGAACATGGGGACAGAGCTCTCTACACACCAGCTCCCTACTGGATAATGGTTAATTCTCACTTAATTCTAGTATAGTTCATTCTGAAGTTCCCTTTAAAAGGTGACCTGCCATGAGAGGGGAAGGCAGAGAGGGTTAGGAGCTGGTTGAATGGACATGGGGATCTAGGGTGGAAAGGAGGAGTGTGCTGTCACAGTACACGGAGAGCAATTAGAGTCACATAACAATGTATGTATAAATTTTTTTATCGGGAAAAATAAATAAAAAGTGACCTGCTATTGGCTGGTGCTGGATAAACAATGCACAAAAGGCACAGAACACTAGACGATGCACAAAGGATCAGAGTGGGACAGAAACAAGGGCATGCCTGCTGCCCCATTCTGAGAAAGCCTTCTGTCAATGTGCTGTATATGACAAGACAGCCACCAATGAGGGTATTCCCGGAAAAAGTGGGTAGCTAGCTTGGGTCTAGGATGGCATTTAGAAAGGTTCAGGCCATCCTGAGTCTTTTTCTTATTCTTATTGTCCTCCTTAGGACAATAACTGGATGAGAGGAATACTTCAAATGTTTGATCTTCTCCAAAGAAGAAATGTTTGAAAACTCAGGGCCCTGCTCTGATCACATTCACACAGCAAAGGATCCCCTTCAGGGTTAAACATGTCAATGCAGCAGGCTATAATCAGGCTATTGAACAAATACTACTGTAACTAGGTCCGCCACAAATATAGGAAAACATCTACTAACCCTAAGTATAGCTTGAGGTAAAAAAGGTAATTCCACAGTCCTACTTTTAAAAGAGTACATTCACAGCACAAAAGTACCTATACTTCTAAGTTTAAGGATAAAAAATAAATACCTACTCAGGCAGAGACTTTTTATCAAAATAAGAAAATGATTCAGAGAAAAATCACAATACACATAAGTTGCTGCAAAAATATTAACCACCTTTGTATATACCGAACACTATAATAAACTTAATAAAAATGACAATGACACGGAGTTCCAGTCATTAGCATACAATATGAAAAAGGAACAATTTTAATGTAAGCCATGTCCAATCTTCTGGATGCAGGAAATAATACATTGCAAATTTTTTTTGTTCTAAAAACTTAATTGCTATAATTTTTACTTATGGTTAAATGAGCATTCAAAATCAAGGAGGCAGATAATCATTTTAAACATTAAATAATTTAAAAAATCACACAGTATTTTAAAAAATGTAGTTACCTCGCCTGACGCCTCATCGATTAAAGGTATCTGGGTAGGAGTTTCAACTTCAATTGATATCTATGAAAATAAAATAAGAGATCATGTATATATCTTATCACCTACATTTGGTTTTTCATGGCTTGGTATGCCTTTACATCACAAACACAGGAAGAGGACTAGAGAAAAGTTACAGACTCTCTCCACATAATAATTTCTGATTTCACTATAATATACTTTTTAATAGCTTAAAAAGATATAAAGCTAAAATAAGACTTTTCTGGAAGTTGATTTGGCAATATGTATCAAAAGTGTTATAAATTTATATATCCTTTGACACACCAATTTTATTTCCATAAATTCAATTTTCCTCTGTTCATCTCCCTGTCACTCCCATTCCCCTCTCCCTTTGAATCTAAGTCTCTGTAAAATATGTAGTGATATGTGTCTTCAGGTTTTATGCTATGAAACACAGTCTGGGTCAATACATGATGCTCTGTAAAAACACCTGGTTCACTGATTCTAATTGCTACAGAGTGCTCCATAATGACCTTGCATACTTGACTAGATCAATGACAAGCACATAACAGGCACTCAGTAAGTACTTGATGAATGAATGAAGGAATGTAATTTTTCATCTTCTTAGTCTACTAATGTAAAATATGGTATTTGAGGTTCAAGTGTTAAAAATATCCTTGCATTTCTGAGATTGACAGATCTTATTCATGATGTATTATTTTTTTAAATAGGGTTAGATTCAGTTAGCTACTATCTTAATTAGGATTTTTACATGTGTTCATATATGAACTGGACTTTTTTCCCATGTAGTATCACTATCAAGAAACCCTGGTGGTGTAGTGGTTAAGAGCTATGGCTGTTAACCAAAAGGTCAGCAGTTCAAATCCACCAGGCACTCCTTGGAAACCCTATGGGGCAGTTCCACTCTGTCCTCTAGGGTCGCTATGAGTAGGAATCAACTAGACAGCAATGGGTTTTTTTATGGATATCAACTATATTAACAAACATTTTACACTATAAAATATTAAAATGCATCTTAGCTAGAGAGTCAGTGAGACTAGACAAATAAAACTAAGGACCTAGATCAAACTGCTGAGGGACAAGAAAAACAAATCAACAATAATAATAAAAGTCAACCTTTTCCAAACTGCTGAATTATGAAAGACTAAATGTCACTATTCTTATTAATGTCAATAAATCCGGTGTGTGAGGAACTAGGCTTTGACTAATTCCAATCCTTTTTTCAATCTGTCTCTAAATACTATTTCCCATTTAAAAAACAGAAATAGTGTTAATCAAAAAAAATAAAACTTACAGTTCGTTTCTCCCAAAATCTGTATTTTGGGTTAGTTAACAACAACTCCTTAGTAACAGGAGAACAGTATAAGTAAACCTTCAAGCTGAAAGGAAAAGACAAAAAAAAAAACACAAAACTGTTTCAGTACAATCCAAGATGAAGCATCTTACTTGGTGACTAGGAAACACATTTCATCGTGTATCAGTTATCTCTATCAATTTAGAACTGTGCTGCCACAAAGGGTGTTAGAGTAGTTCCCCACATACCTACACATCACTGCCTCTTTTGGTCCTATCAAGAGCATGAAGGGAGGTGGGGAAGAAGCAGGTCAGGGAAAATACTATGTCCTCTGACTGCCTGAAAAAGTTGTTCCTCACCATTCTTATGACAGAGATGTGTTTGTCCATGACCAAGTTTGTTTGATAAGATAGCCGCCAAATGTTAAGCTGTATCTCTGGAAAATGGAAAGGAGGTGTGAGGAACAGAAGGTTTCTGCTTTATACTTCATATACATGTATTCTGCCTATTTTTTAAATTAACATATATTAATTTCATAATAAACTTTTTAAAAAAATCAACGGTATAGTTTAGAGGACAGTAATACAGTCAGTGGCAGACTGTATTTTCCAAACATGGCCACACTAATAAATACCCTGCCCTACACACTCTTCTTACAACATGGACATCGAAATTCTTCCATGTGGACTGTGTTCTATCCCCCTTGAACGTGGGCAGACTTTTTTAACTGCCTTAACCAACAGAATGTAGTGAAGTGATACTGCATGACATTAGAGGTTAGATCTCCAGGCAATATGGCTTCCTTCTGGCTCTCTCGGGACATACACTTTTTAAGCCCTGAATCTCCATGTAAGAAGTCCAGCTATCCTTAAACCACCATGCTGTAGAGGCTTTTTAGAGACAGCGAGATGCCCAAGGAACCCCAGCTGTTACAGCCCCAACTGCTTGAGTCTTCCCAGCTCAGCTGGCAGACATGTGAGTGAGTGAGCCTTGAGATCATTTGAGTCCCCAGGTGACACCCAGTCAAGCAGAAACCAACCATCCCCACTGTGCCCTGTCTGCATTCCTAATCTGCATAAACTGAGAGAGATAACGTCATTCTTGGTATTTTAAGATACTATGTTTGGGGATAATTTGTTACGCAGCAATTGATAACTAATACATAGGCTCTAAAATCAGACAGACCTGGTTGAAAGCCTGGTTCTGCCACTTACTGGCTGCATGACCTTGGCAACTAATTTAACCTCTCTGGTTCCTCAGTTTGCTCATCTGTAAAACAGAAATAATAATAGTATCTATTCAAAAGATGCTCAGGAGGCTCTAATGAAAATGTCAGCTACAAGAGGGCAGGGATTTTTGTCTGTGTTGCTCACTATTGTATCCTTAACATTCAGTATAGTGCCTGACTCATCATAGGTACTCAAAAAATTGCTGAACTAATAAATAAATATAGAGAATTTAGCATAGTGGCCAGCACATAGTAAGTACTCAATAAATAATATCTATTATTATCAAGAACACAGGCTGTTGATATCACTTAGTAGAGAAGCTGACATCCACTGGTTCAAAAGTTTAAAAGTCAATAAGGCCCTTTCCAAATACATATTTTGAGAATTTAGAATTTAAATTTAGGTAGTGGCTTCAGGAAAAGAATGCAATAGTTCAGCTTAAAAAAAGATCCGAAAATATTCACTCTTTAGTATGGAACAACCATTGCCACATATATACATAAAATCCACATTTACAAAATGAACAATGAACAAACTATTGCTGCACCCAACAGCATGAATAAATCACACAAATACAATGTTAAGTGAAAGAACGCAAATATAAAAGAGGCTATTCTGTACAATTTCACTTATATAAAATTAAAAAACAGCCAAGGTAAACTATGATGATAAATATCAGAATAGAGGTTACCTTTGGGAGAGAGGGCAATGACTGGAAGGAGGTCCAAGGAGTTTGGTGGTATTGGAACTGTTCTATTTCTTGATCTGGGTGGAAGCTACACAGATGTGTTCACTTTGTAAAAATTCATCAAACTGTACTCCTAGAATTTGTGTACTTTTCCGACTAGATGTCATATCTCAATTAAAAGATTTACTTAAACACACACAGGGAGTCCCCGGATTATGAACGAGTTCCATTCCTAAATCTGTCTTTAAGTCAAATTTGTACGTAAGTTATAACAGGTACAGTTTGTATCTGATGTCAGTCAAATGTTTGTCTTAGTATATTATGTACCTTTCTATGTATAAAAAACATTAAAGAAATACTTCCAGATACACTAAAACATCTTTAACATAATAATACAGTAATATAGTCAGCCTTCCATATCCATGGGTTCTGCATCCGCGGATTCAATCAACTGCAGATTGAAAATATTCAGGGAAAAAAAAGTTTCAAAAAGCAAAACTTGAATTTGCTGCACACTGAGCGCTATGCTGAATCCATGTGAGTGAAATGATGTGTAGGCATACCCTGTTGTAGCCTCCTACCATTTCACAGATCCTGTCTCTCTCCAGCACTCGTTGTTTGAGCTTGCAAAGACTGAGAAAGGATGTAAGTGTTAAGTGGAAGTATTAACAAGTATTTACATAGCATCTACATTGCATTAGGTATTGTAAATAATCTAGAGATTACTAAAGTTTAGGGGAGGATGTGAGTAGGTTATATGCAAATATTAAGCCATTTTATATAAGGGACTTGAGTATCCCTGGATTCTAGTATCTGCAAGGGTCCTGGAGCCAATCCCCTGTGGATACCGAGGGATGACTGTAATAATAATGTTTTGATGCATGTCGCAAAGTAGTGCTTGTTATTAGGAACCATTGCATATATCCTGAATTTTTAATATAATAGGCTTTACAGGGGTTGGTTGGTGTCATGGATTGAATTATGTCCCCCCAAAAATGCATGCATCAATTTGGCTGGGCCATGAGTCCCAGTACTGGGTGGTTATCCTCCATTTTGTGATTGTAATTTTATGTTAAAGAGGATTAGGGTGGGACTGTAACACCCTTCCTAAGGTCACATCCCTGATCCAATGTAAAGGGAGTTTCCCTGGGGTGTGACCTATACCACCTCTTATCTTATAAGAGAGGAATGGGAAGCAGGCAGAAAGTGGGGGACCTCATACCACCAAGAAAGCAGTGCTGGGAGCAGAGCACATCCTTTGGATCTGGGGTCCCTGTGCGGAGAAGCTCCTAGTCCAGGGGAAGATTAATGAGAAGGCCGACAGAGAGAGAAAGACTTCCTCTGGAGCTGACACCCTGAATTTGGACTTCTAGCCTACTTACTTACTGTGAGGAAATAAATTCCTCTTTGTTAAAGCCATCCACCTGTGGTATTTATGTTTTAGCAGCGCTAGATAACTAAGACACTTGGTAACTACGGGTTGTACGTAAGTCAAACGTTTATAATCCAGGGACTGCCTCTAAGTAGCAAAGTAAATTACCTGCACTCCAATCTTCTTTTCAAGGCAGGGGCTCTTAATCCTTTCATGTGATCTAAAAACAAAAAAAAATCAACAATCAAATACACTTTTTTTTTTTTTCAGAAGATTTCTTAGCACAAGGAAACTGAGTCATCTGTTCTTTAAGCTTCCTTTTGAGAGAAAATACATGATAGGTTCACTTTTATAAGACACTGATTCCTATGGGCTACTAGCTCTTTCTTCTGTGGTGAGGAATCTGTCTTAGAACAGCCAGGAACCAGAAGAAGTTGACCATCTCTGAGCCCATCGAAAGCAAGTTCAAAAGAGCATGATCCTCTGCATCTTAGGGCCAAATCTAAATCACTCTGAGCAGCCACAGAAGAATGAGTGACCAAGGGCTCATTCAGAACAACTTCCTGCCCTTTCTGTTACTCTTCTTTGATTTCAATCCATTCTTCAGGCCACACTCTATGTGACCCACTCAATTCCCATCACCTGTTATTCCATCTAGAAGGTCAAGCTTGCTTCCATGGAAGCTTCTAGGAAATCATTCAGGCTCGAACAAGAATGAGAAGAGTTTCATTATCTCCTCACCCTACTTTGACTGCTTGGCTGAAAGATGGAATATTACCACCCCCATGGGCTTGCTCCACAGCTTTCCAAAAAAATAGACACAGGAAGAGGACATTTAAAGAAAAATAACATTTATACCAAGTATTAGATTAAATAGATAGTATATCTAAACATGTCCTGAATCTTTAGCACATAAAGGCCTAGATGACAATGACCAAACATTTCTAAATCGTTTAGTCAAAGTAAACCATTTCTAATTATTCTAACTATCTCCTCCAATACACACACACACACACACACACACACACGTGCGCCCTCAATTTATATGTGAAGACCCTTAAATCCAGTGAACACAAGGCAGTCACTGCACCTCACTTAGCAGACCATGACTGGACACATGCCTCCGCAGGACAGTCCACTTGCCTGCTCAAAGTGTGAATCTCCTCAGGTCACTCCTCGTTCAGTCTTTTAGGGCCTACGGGTAGGTTCTAGGGCAGGACTCTCAGTGATCAGGGTTTCCGAAGAGTTTATGCCATGGCAAAAAGAAGGCTGGAATCAGGACTCCGCTCCATGCTCCCAAACTGACTCAGCAGACAGCATCCTAAGAGCCTTCTCATCAAGACACCCCTTTCCTGACTGGTGGTCAAGGGAACCTGCATGAGTTTACTTGGTGCTGCTAGAAATGGCACCCAGAGTCTATTTTCCAGGACCTTTTTCCTTTTCCTTGGCCAGAACAAATCATCAAGTTGCCCCCTTCTGGATCTGCCCCAGCCCTGGGCCACTATTTCAGACCACGAACCCCCTCTTGTCTTCCACGTCTCAATGACATTTATAAAGCCTACCCTGAGTGACCTCTAAGGAGCCCTGGGGGCGCAGTGGTTAAGTGCTCAGCTGCTAATGGAAAGGCTGGCAGTTCATACCCACCCAGTGGCTCTGTGAGAGAACAATGTGGCACTCTGCTTCTGTAAAGATTTACAGCCTTGGAAGCCCTATGGGGCAGTTCTACTCTGTCCTACAGGGTCACTATGAGTTGGAATCAACTCAACAGCAACAGGTTTTGAGTGCAGCACTGAGCTCCACATGGTCCCTAAATGTGCTTCACAGCCCACCTCAAATTATATCAAAATATGATGCATACGTGAATTTTTTTCTAGCAAGAGTCCATAGATTTTGTCAGACATTCAAAAAAGTCTGTGTCCGAAACAGTTAAAAACCACTAGAATGCAATGTGAGAAATGCCCAAAAGCAGAAGTTGAATTCTCACCCTTGATGAGTTTACATCAAGGTTGAGTACAGACCTACACATAAGACAACAGGAAAAGTTATTATGAATCGCTAGATAGAAGAGACTCAATTTCTTGCTTAATGTACAAACTAATAATGATGGTTTCACAAATTCCTTTAGACAAATTATTTCTCCAAACCCACTACTCCTCAACATCAAGGGCAAGTCCCAAAGCCATACTTTAACAATGTCTATCAAATTTTGAGTTCAGAGATTCCAGTGAGACTGAACACAAAAGGTAAAAATGGGAGCATCCTTATCTCCAGTACTCTTAAACATCCAGAAGCAGATTCTCAATAAAAAACAAAACAAAAAATGTTATCCTCGAGAATAACCAGAAGGATCTCACAGTGCTGCTTGGCAACTAGAGAGCAGTGGTCCAGCTCTTCCTCATTAAAGAGAGATAATTGGTAACCTTGAGCAAGGAAGCAGAGAAATTTCCCAAAAGCAGTAACTTCAACAATTTGTCCCTAGGTGATGCAGCTGATGCAGTTGATGCAACTGGCTACCGATCAAAAGGATGGAAGTTCTAGCCCACCCAGAGGCCTTTAAAGAAAGTCCTGGCAATCCACTTCTGAAAAATCAGCCTTTGAAAACTATGGAGGACAGCTCAATTCTGACACACATGGGGTCACCATGAGTTGGAGTCAACTCTACGGCAACTGGTGGTAGAGTTAAAGTGATCGATTCCATGCACAAGACATTTGATCTTCACACAAACCCTGTGAGGAAGGGCAGTGTTATGATAACTGTAATATGTATGTATAAGTTCATTACACTAGGTGCCATCAGTAATCCTTATCAGGAACTCATGTTTCAAAGGGGTAGTTGCTACTTCTCAAGCTACTCTGTAAAGTCTACACTTAAAGAGACAGCCAGTGAAGTGCTTCAGTTTATCTTTATCTCCAACCAATGCCAAAACCAAACCAAACCCACTGCCGCTGAGTTGACTCAGACTCATAGCGACCCTACAGGACAGAGTAGAACTGCCCCATAGGGTTTACAAGGCTGCAATCTTTACGAAAGCAGACTGCCACATGTATCTCCCATGGACCTTCTGTTTTTGAACACAGACCTTTCCATTAGCAGCCGAGTGCTTTAACCACTAATCAATGGTTACTGGCCCCTAATCAATGCCAAAGGCTGTACTAATCAGCGTAATGAATATTAAAACGTTTTTCATTGGTAGAATGAGTAACCCATTAGTCAGCATAATAGGTGTTAAAAATGGGCAATGGTTGTGAGATTACTGGTATTCAAACTCTGGGGATTGGCTAAAGTATTTTAGAGATACTCTATCCTCACATGGAGCGTCTAGTAAGTTTAGAGCCCTTATCATTAGCAATGACAAACTAGTTGCCAACGAGTAGATTCTGACTCATGGCAACCTCATGTGTGTCAGAGTAGAACTGTGCTCCATAGAGTTTTCAATAGCTGATTTTTTGGAAGTAGATCGCCAGGCCTTTCTTCCAGGTGCCTCTGGGTAGACTCAAATTTCCAACCTTTTGGTTAGCAGCCAAGCAGTTTGCAACACCCAGGGACTCCATCAGGGATGACACTCTAGACTTCATCCCTAAATGGCCATGTTTCCAGTTGTGAGATCATAGTATTCTGGTTTTCTGCTGCCATCCTGCCTCTAAACTAGAATGAACCTTTCATACTGGATGTGGTCAGAACATCTAAAAGGAGGGGGAACTTGTACTTAGTGGAGCCTATAGACAGGTGGTTTAGAACGCATGTTTGTGTGTGTGTCCGCTTGCTAACGAAGGTTTGGTTGGGTGTGTGGCAGAATTTGATGTGAAACTTATTTCCTTTATAATATGGTAGTGAGGATGTGGGAGAACTAATCCTAGCCAATTTCGGACTACAAGCCGCTATGATAACTACCAAAGAATCTAATAGTTGGGCCTGACCAAATAAGCCTGACAGTGCAAAACAGGCAGACGCTGTTCTGTCCCATTTCACAAAGGAAGAAAATAAAGCCTTAGAGAAGTTGAACAGCCAGACTGAGACAAGGTGTAGTTGATAATCCCTCCTCTTGTCTCCCAAAGCCTGCACCTTTCTTGCTCCAGGGCCCCGATGCCAGCTTCTCCTCCTCTATCCAGCCCCTCGGGCGATTCTCCCGCGAGGCCAAAGCACTAGCAGCCCCCTGCTTCCCTGGGAGTGGGAAACGCGCAGAGCTCACTCACCCTTGTGGCAGTGGGACAGGAAGTAAGCACGCGCCCGCAGGTTCTCCCGGTCGAAGCGGTCTATGGAGATGGTTGGATACTCAACCATCTGTCCGCCGAAGGAACTCATACCTTCCGCCAATCTCTGCGGACAAAACTCCGCGCCGGCCGCCGCTGAAGCCCAGCTTGTCTCTGACCCCGCTGCCACTTCCGGGAGCCCGCCCGCCGCCTTGCCATTGGCCAGCCGACGCGCAGCCTCGCCCAATCAAAGCAACCTTGTGGTCAGGGGGCGGTGCTATGGAACGTCCAGTCACGTTCCTGCCTCCCGCAAACTTAGAATTTAAAAAAAAAAAACCAGCTGCGTGCGCAACAGGTGAGGGGGCTCCTTTGCCTAGTCCTGGAGAGGCTGGGTGGAGTGGAGGGTTTAGAGTGAGGGTTCTGGTTCCTGCTGAAAGTCTCGACAGAACAGTACGAGTGTTGCCTGGTGAAGGGTTGTTGTCCGTGTCTGTAGCAGAAGCGGAAACACCTAATAGTAGCTGAAAGAGCTGGTTCCACCCAAGGATGCGAGGTGGGGTGTAGAGTTTCGCTTCAGAATCAGACTGCGTTTCATTTCCTGCTTTTCTACTCATAGCCTGAAAGCCGAGTTCAGTTTCTTCATCTTTAAAATGGCAATCGTAGTTTCTACCTCGTGACAAAACCATGAGTATTGTTGTGAGGTACCTTGGAGTCGGATCCGACTCATAGCGACACTATGTACAACAGAAGGAAACACTGCCCGGTCCTGGGCCATCCTCACAATGGTCTCAATGTTTGAGCCCATTGTTGCAGCCACTGTGTCAGTCAATCTCGTGGAGGGTCTTCATCTTTTTCCCTGACCCTTTGCTTTACCAAGCATGATGTCTTCTCCAGGGACTGTATGAGAAAATTGTAAAGAACACAAAACAAAATAAAAAACCAAACCCATTGCCGTGAAGTCAATTCCCACTCATAGTGACCCTATAGGACAAAGTAGAACCGTCCCACAGGGTTTCCGAGGAGTAGATGGTGCATTTGAACTGCCAACCTTTTGGTTAGCAGCCAGGCTCTTAACCACTCTACCACCAGGACTCCTACGAGTTGGAATTGACTTGACGGCAAAGGGCCTCATGGTAGTTCATTAATTATTAGTTTGCTCTCCCACTTACAATCTACAAATTGAATGAATAAACAATCGCTGATGATCATAATTTAAACACATGATTTTAGGGTAAATAAATAAAGACCCCAAGGATATCTTAGCTGCTAGCCTTCCTCCTCCCCCCTTTAGAGCTGTATTATTAGTGGTCAGAAAGAAGTGTAAAAGATGGTAGCATAATGGGGAAGGGAGGAGGTCTAGAATTTTTTAACCACCAAAACTACTTTATAAAAAGATTTGTTAACGTATTAAGATTCACCAAATAATCACAGTGACATTTATTGTATCCCTATCTAGCAATTCTTCTTAGATACCTCTGTATTATTAACCACAAACAACTCACTTTTGAGGTCCTGCTTTGTGCATAGCACCGCGACAAGCCTGATAGTGCTTAGTGCTTACACAGATGACTAAAATGTGCCTTAAAGTTGTTTTCAGTCTATGGGGAGAGGACACATTTGTAGAACATGGTAAGTAAAATGGAAATAAATCCAGGAACAATGAATCAGAATGCCACCCTCAGAGAATTTATTTCTATGTTTATATATCAGCATGTTCCTGCAGCCAAGTTACTCAGAGTCCCTATTCAAATACAGACACTCATAAAATCTTTAAAAAAAAAAAAAAAAAAAGGCGGGAGGAGTGGGAGAAGTATAGAGGGCTATCACTGTGTCTAAAAGGAGCCCTGGTGGCACAGTAGTTAAGCCCTCAGTGGCTAACTGAAAAGTCTGTGGTTCCAACCCATCAACTGCTGTGCAGGAGAAAGATATGGCAATCTGCTTCAGTACAGATTTACAGCCTTGGAAACCTTGGGGCAGTTCTACTCTGTCCTACAAGGTCACTGTGAGTCAGAATCGACTCGGCAATAGGTTTGGTTTGGTTTTATCATTGTATTTAGGTTCATAGGTGGCACAAATGGCTTGCCTTGGGCTACTAACCAAAAAGTAGGCAGTTCAAATCCACCCAGTGGTGCCAGGAAAGAAAGGCCTGGCTTCTACTTCTGTTAAGATTATGTCCATTGAAAATTCTATGGATTGCAGTTCTACTCTGGCACACAAGGGATGGGAACTGACTCAAGGGCAATCGGTTTGTCTTTGTTTTTTAATTGCTATCTAGGTTGACTGTACCTAAGGATAAATTCTGCAGTGAGCCTGGCATCTAGAGAGTTCCATGTATCTACTTCTGACAAAAATTAGAGCTTGTGGAAAAGCTGCAGTTCAAGATAATGCTCATATTCTTATCTATTTGCCCACTTACTTATCCCCACTTCTTTTCACAGTGAATACAGTACAAAAGAATGTAGGAAAATGTTGACAGAGTCTGGACAAAGGGGAAAGATAGACAGAATATAGTGAAGACAGGTAAGAATAGCTCACAGACATGCACACATGTATTCTTGTGAGAGGTGGGCCATATATTTGGCTTTCCTAGAGGCCAAAGTAAAGAGGGAGGCATTATCATCTACAACCTCTATGGCATCCTTAACATGAAAATAAAACAGCTTTTCAGAAGAAGCCCAATTTTCTGGACACTGAGTCGCAAGAGAAATTTCTCCCATGCGTGCTTATAAAGAAAATTGTGAGAGACGGGGCCAAGATGGCAGAGTAGTCAGACTCTTCTGGTGGACACTCTTACAACAAAGACCCAAAATTGATTATATATGGCAATCTGGGAGCCCTGAACATCAAAGGCAGAGTTGAGGACTGGACTGAGTGGCAGGGGGAGAGAGAGAGACGGTTTGGAAGCAGCCAGGAGTTGCCAGACCTGAGCCGGCGAAAGCCTGAGCACTTCAGGCTCGATCAGCTTGTGGGTGAGTGGTGAGGCAGGCAAGCAGCCATGCTCAGGAGGCGCATTTTCTGCACCAGGAGATACTCACCACCAGGGAGTCTCCCCGGCCACCCAGAAACAGTGAGAAACAGCCCTCATTGGCGAAAGATAAGTACTTCCATACGGCTTACCAAGCGGATCAAAAACACCCCCCTTAGGGAAGCCCCCATTTACCTCCCCGCTCCCTGCTCTGCCCTGGCTCCCAGACCAACTTCAACAATTGCCGAGTCCCCTGGGACGGAAGTAAGATCTGTCACATGCCCAGAGCCATTCTCCCTGCCCTGGAGAGTGAACAAATTAACAAAAAGGAGAAAAAATAAACTGCAGGCTCCCTTAAGCCAGGAACCCAGGGTAAGCACAGCTCCTTTGCCTCGGCACAGGCATAGGGATCTGCAGACTTTGAGTGCTTTTCCCCCTGCATAGACTTGTGTGGGCCCATCTCAGTAGTGTAGGCCTTCATTACTGCAATACAAAAGGGTATATACCAGAACTCTAACTTCAACTGTTTTAGCTGTGAAGTGGCAGGTTCTTGACAATTGTCACTGCTCTGCCCATTAAGCGGGGTCTTCACCTACCCACATCAGGGGCCTCAGGACAGGTGGCTCCACCCATGCCACCTGGCCACCTGCAATAGGGGCCCATGAATAAGAGGTGCCCCCTAGTCCTTACAGCTAACATCATTAGGTGCTCATAATCTGACTGCAAAACCTACCCACCTGCGTGCTCTAGGGAACAAGGACATGCATTCTTCCTGGACACTCAGGGGTGGCCGTCAGGCCCCTGCCTTGCTCTGAGTGTGTCCCCCTGTTGCAGCCAGATGCCTGTGCTTACACCAATCATCCATACCTGTCTAGGACAGTAAGTGAGCCTACACCACACACTTGGTAGCTATCTACCTGGGCACCAGAGCTGAATCCATACAGGAGGAGTGGGCAGAATCCTGAGCTCACATACATAGTAACAGATCTAACCACCTGCTGACAGCACATTAGGGCTTCAAATATGCCAATAATCAAACTAGCTCATATGAGCAGCCTATTTGGGCATATCAAAACAAAACAAGAAGCTGGGACACAGTAAGCAAATGTAAAAT